ACATAAACCCCCATATCCCCCAATGCGGTGGGGGAATTTTGGGGATTTGAAGCCAAACACTTTTTAAAGTGGCCAAGTTTGAAAAATGTTGCTTAAAGAGGATTGAGATGGTATAAATATTTGCAGTAATAATAATGTCCCAGCAGATGGCAGCACGTGGTCAATCTTATTTGGGCTAAGAACTTAAGCAAAATCAGGCCTGGTTAGTATTCAGGCAGGAGATCAGGGAATCCCAGTTGTAAGATGACTGGGCAGCTGGAAAGGCTAATTCCAAGATTAAGCACTAGACCACATCTTTAACTTTACAAGAAAAAAGATGGACCTGTGAACTCAAACTGATTTTGGTGGTTTTTTTTTAAATCATCATCACCACCACCACCTTGACCCAATATAAAGCACATGCATGTATCCGTCCAAGCAACTGTTGTTTGTGTTTATTAGTGTCTTAACCTTGTAACTGTGGAGTCCTTGGTGCTCTCTGAGCTTGGTTGTTTGCTTGCAGACATTTCATTACCTAACTAGGTAGCATCATCAGTGCTAGTGAGTGTGGGGTTTGCACCCTGTTTATATACAGTGGTTTGTCCTGCCGGTGGTGGTGGTGATGTTTTCCTTGGTAGTTCCTTGATTAGGGTATTGTTTTCAGCTTGAATATTGTCTGGGGTTAATCCCTGCTTATCTGGGTGTTGGCTGCTGGAGAGGATGTGTTCTGGTCTTTTTGTTTCCTTCTTACCTTTTTTTATTGTCTCTTTTGAATGGTGTATAAATGTGGTTTATCTCTATGTGTCTATTGATGGCTGATTTGTCTGAATGCCAAGCTTCTAGGAATTCCCTAGCGTTTTTGGATTTAGCTTAGTATTGTTTTCAGCTTGAATATTGTCTGGGGTTAATCCCTGCTTATCTGGGTGTTGGCTGCTGGAGAGGATGTGTTCTGGTCTTTTTGTTTCCTTCTTACCTTTTTTTATTGTCTCTTTTGAATGGTGTATAAATGTGGTTTATCTCTATGTGTCTATTGATGGCTGATTTGTCTGAATGCCAAGCTTCTAGGAATTCCCTAGCGTTTTTGGATTTAGCTTAGTCTAGGATGCTCAGAGTTTCCCAGCTGAAACTATGGTTGAGTCTGTCCATGAGTTGTGAGATTAAGGAGTTTTCAACCTTGTAAGCCACCCAGAATTATGTATGTGAGATGGGCGGCTATATAAATCAAACAAACAAACAAACAAACAAATAAATACATCTGTTTTGTAATTGAGATTTGCATCCAGTGCCCATTGTGGTCAAGAGGACCCATCTCTCTCACAAGCCCCTTTTCCTGGCAGATGTGTCACCATACAAACATCTCCACCAAGGTGCCTTCAGAGTGATAAATGGTGCAGACAGATGGCCCAGCCACCTGACAGTGTGTCATCCTGAGGACTCTCTCATGAGTCAAATGGCTGGGGAGCCTCTTAAGAGCAGGTGGGGAGGATAGTAGTGGGTGGGGCTTGGGCCCCAGTTCACTACCTGTCATGCCTCACCATAAAGATGACTCTGCAGTGACCTAGCAACAAAGGAAGACAGTTTGCTTTGTGGTGCTGTGACCCAACGTTAATTAAGCAGCCACATTTTTTCAGGCATTGCAAAAAGGTCAAGAGATAAGGATCCATTCACACATTACACTATGTGGTTTATTGGTTTGGGCTTGGTGTATTGTGGGAACCTAACCATTTATTCAAGAAACCAAGGTTAATGGAAAAGTAGTAACATTCCTGTTAGTAAGGATTGGATTCAAGAGATATGCGATATGTTTTTGAAAGGGCAATTTTATCTATTCATTTAAAAAAAAATGACTCAGTATGTTTTTCTGGGGCATACATTTTATGATATTCTCTAACGTTAGAGAATTGTTATTTTTTATTTTATTTTTCCCTCCAAGGTAGATTTTGATGCACATGTGACTCATCTAGATAGATTCCCCCTTTTCTGATTTTATTTGTTTGTTTTGTAGTTTTTCATATATTTCCTTCCTGGCTTTTTTGTACTTTGTATTTTTTTTCCTATTTCTTTCTGGAAAACTGGTTAAGACAAAATATTTAAGTAAATAAATAAATAACCCAGGTTAAAGCAAGCCGTGGCTTTGTACAAGGGGTGTCTTTATCGATGCTTGTAGGTAGGTAGCTCCCAAGGTTACTTTCAAAAAGCAGCTATTCTTCACTTCCTCTCTTTTAGGTCTGGGCTGAGAAAAGAGTAGGAAGAAATGGTGAAGAAACCAAACATCACCGTCGTCTGGAACCCCACGACGTCTGAGGCCGTGAGAGCGCTCAAGAAGTTTCTTGAAGAGAAGCCCTCAATGACTTCAATTGCAGTCATGTTTCATTCTCAGACCTTCATATCCCATGTATTAGTCACAAGAATTTGCAAGCAACTACTTCAGGTTATTTCTCTCGTCCCCGTTCTCAAGTTAGAGTTTCTAAATATAGCAAAAACAAAGCAGTCTTTCCACAGAGCAGCCCTCTTGCTTCTCAAATGTGCTAACCTGCCTTCAATGCATCCTTCTTTTTCAACTCACCTTCCCCAAAAAATCATTCCTGCTGACAAGATCCCAGTCCCAGACTTCAACAATGCAGAGCTTTTCTGTGGCTGACTCATCCAGGTCAAACTCAAAGGTCTCATTCCATCTGGGGTAGCAAGATTTTTTGATCACCTGAAGAAAGAGCAGAGTCTAAAGCGGTGTTTCTCTATCTTGGGGACTTTAAGATGGGTGGACTTCAACTCCCAGAATTCCCCAGCCAGCAGAGCCATGGAAATTGAAGTCTACCCATCTTAAAGTCGCAAGGTTGAGAAATACTGATCTAAAGAAACGGGAAGCCAATTCCATCAGATCAGGAAAATCCTAAATGGGATATGGCAGTCTGCCTAAGATGGGAGATGTTCAAATGATGCCAGATTACTACTCTCATATGCCCCAGTAACATGACAAAGAATTGCACTGGTTGGGGCACGGGGGTGGTTATGATCAAATAAACCTGAAGGCTGACAGTTAGGGAAGGTAACAGCACTGAATACACTCAACATGTTTGCCTATTTCAGTCCACTCAACAACATTAGCATCTAGTAATCAATGTCACAGAAACTCTTTTCATGGTCCAACTAGGAAGGCAGCTGGAACACTTGGCCAGCCCTAATCCTGTGGCCATTCTGCGATTCTTCCCTGCCTACCTTCTTTAATCTATCTATCTATCTATCTATCTATCTATCTATCTATCTATCTATCTATCTATCTATCTTTCTATCTTTCTATCTTTCTATCTTTCTATCTTTCTAACTTTCTATCTTTCTATCTGTCAATCATCTAATCTCCTCCTAAGGACATTTTGTAGTTCAGCAGGCCAAATCTCTCCAGTCTGCTAAAGCCAGACTAGGAATTAAGGGATTTGAAACTTTTCTTAATGTATTTTACAAAAACATTGGTTTTTTTTTTTAACTTTTGGACTTTGTTTTGATTGAGTTTTTAATGCAAGCTGCCAGGAGTCTCTCCAATTGTCAATCTTACAAATCTAATAAAATAATAATAATAATTAATATTATTATTTGTATTCCAGTGGACAAGTGCTTTGGAAACATTTCTGTAAGATAGGAGCAGGGTACCTGTTAACCTTCACCCTGTTATAAATCATTTAAATTATCTCCAGTCTCAGTACAATAAATTGAAAAGGTGAAAATAAATCATCAAATAGCAAAATATTTACTAACTCTAAGCTAATTCCCATTCAGTTCTCTGACTGCTGATCCTTACCAAGTCAAAACGGTGACATCTGCATGTAAAACATGATTATTTACATTTTTAGGGTTTGCAGAGGTCCAAGAAAAAAAAGGAAAAAATAACTTTAAAGCAGGAATGGATAACCCACTACCCACAACACCTGATCTGCATTCCCCAGAGCTAAGGTTACCACATCTAGGCTGCAAATTTCCAAACAATCACTAAATGGCATCAAAAATGCACAAAAATTCTTTGCTGCCATCATCCAGATCTTGGCCTTCTGCCCTCCAGGAGGAATGGTTGAGAAGATCTGCTTCTCTTTCTCTCCCCTATTTGACTGACCCCATGGCAAAAAAAAGGGGGAGGGGGAGGAATCAGGTCCTCTCTCTTCCCCAGTTTCTCTCCCTGGCCATGGGGGGCAGTCAAGGGGGAGAGGAGAAGCTGTGGAGAATGGTGCCAGGGCTCTGATTCTACTCATGGCGCCAAAGGAAGCATGGGCCACCCCACTTCTCCTCCAGCTCTCACTGTGGACAGAACCTCTTCTCTCCTTCACTGCCAAAATAGATAAGAATCCGAAGGGCTGTTAACACTTCTTTAAGCCACCACACTTTTGTGCTGGTGTCTGCACTGGATAACTGCACTTTGGCGCCACCATATGGAAGAACCCTTATTTGTCAGTATGGTTGGACAAACCATTGTTGTCCAACCATGATTGGGCCAGAACAGCAGCAGTGAGGACAGGCTTTATATGCCTTCAACAATGGTTGGGTGATGCCATGAAGATGCTGTAAGTCACTAGTGGGGAAAAGACCTTAGTGTGATATGTAAAGCCAATCTTTGTACTTTGTATATCATAATTTGTGGCTTAACATTACATTCAGATTAATCCGCTCTAGGTGATTTCAACAATGCATCATTAAAATAAAGCATGGCTTTATTTGACACATAAACCCCCTTATAGTAACATTTTGTTGCAGATCTGTTTTCATGCATGTCCAAAGGGAGGCAAGGTGGAGGGTAGGGATTGAAGTAACAACACTTACAAGTACGCAATGATGCAATGACACAAATGCCATGACTGACTTACTAGCTTTTGCACTGAGGCATTTGCATGATTACATCAATGCATACTTAGCATTTTGGCATTATCATGATTTGCTGCCTGATGCAGCTGGCAGTTATCCATAGTATATTGGGCGCTAATAAATTGCAAACCAAAGTTGGATGGACGGAAGTAATCAACTCCAAACTCAGAGGCTTGTGTAGTCCCACTCTCTTCTCCCCACAACCTAGACTCACCGAAGTCTCCTGAATTTTGCTATTATAGCGGACTCTGACAAAGGGATCAGAAGCTCCGTTCCGGTCCTTCCGGGCTAAATCCCTTGAAAGGAAGGGACAGAAGAGAAGGAAGGATACAAATATTGAAGATGCCATTTGCATGAATATAAGAGAAAATTAAGACAAGCTCAGTTCCTGAAAAACTAAAGTCTACCCATATACTTTTGGAAAACCCATGAATAGGAGTTGGAGAACTTCCAGATGTTGCTCCTGAGCAACTCGTATTCATAGTCTGTGCTAAAAATTAGATTAGATTGGATAGGTTGTGTCTGAACATGTTGGGGACAAGCCAGGCACTATCTTAGCAAGTTGTGTGACTCAGGACTTGAGTTGAAGTCATATTGTGGCTTATTTGTTTGGGTGCATCATGTTAGCTGAACTTAGCTATCATGTTTTGTTAACCTGGGTTTGAGATTCGGTATATTATCAGAACAAGCCATAGAATAATTCCCAGTGTGGCAGGCTGGGGAATTCTGGGAGTTAAAGTCCGCATATCTTAAAGTGGCCAAGTTCGAAAAACACTGATCTAATCTAACCCTGACAACCTACGATATTCATTGGTCCTGCATCCCTGAAAGATGCTCTCAGTTCCAAGTTCCAAACTTCAAACAAAGAATTTACCGCTGTGAGAAAAATGAATCTTTGGGTGAAAAAGACA